GATAGGTGAGTGTCACTCTCCCTCGGGTTTGGTACTAGAAATAGGGAAAACATGTGTGTGGAATGAAAATGTGTGTGTATGTGCAAAAGTGCCCCCCAAGCGTAGAGAGACTTTCGAGTATCGTGTTTTACTTGAAATTTAATATTCCAAGGTCATCTCCTCAGGAAAGGAAAGTGAATTATGTTGAAGGTGATTTTGTGAAAAATGGAAAAGTGTAAAATCTTTGAGTTTTATATTTTGGTGAGTTGTGTTTTCAATGAAATGTAATGGAAACAAGTGTTGGCTAATTCGAGAAGGTCATTCCAATGGGAATGTCAAATCAACTCAAAAAATTCTTCCAATGGTTTATAGGTGTTTGATTGATTCATAGGAAACGAGAGACTAAAATGGAGGTGAGGGCTTAAATATACCTCATAAAAAGTCTACAATGTATCAAGAGCTCACAATCACGTCCACACTCAACCTAGTTAAACCAAACCACCTTTCACTATGAGGAGGAATGAAAAAGAGTTGATTTAGCATACCCAAGGGGAAATCTCCCATGAATTAGCCAACTTAAAACTTAGCTACTCATGTTAACTGCAAAGACATACAATGTAAAGAGACATGATATTGAAATCGAAGTTAAAACGTCTATTAAAGTGAAGAAAGGTGAAACTAAAAAAATAAGTGCATTTAATACCCAACTAAAAAGCTTGAAGTGTAAAACTTGCATGTAACAATGGTAGATTGAAAGATACTTGACTAAACTTGCAATACACTTAAAATAAATGATATTAAGTGCAATAATGAAGCTTACAAGAGTCTTACAAAAGATTACAAGTGAAATGGGTAAAGGAAATGCAAAAAACTAACTTCTCTCTCTAAAACTATGTCTTCCTCTTTGAGCTTCTCTCTCTATAATGCTCTACAATGCTGAATAATCTAAAGTCTCTCCTACATTTTCGTCAATGGAAGTCTTCTAGCATGTGTGATAGGCTTACCATCAATGGGGGGCTGAGTTGATGGCTTAGGCAAGCTAGGACAAGCCTAGCCTGCAACTCGCCAGGCTTCTACCTTATCTCTCTTCCTCATTAATGCAATGGCCTCCAAAGTCCAACCTTAGGTAAGGGGAGACATGTATGTGTGTAGGAGATGTCAAGAGACAAGTGGGAGAATCATATGTAGGGCCCCTAAGTGACAGAGCTTAAGTTGCAGGCTGTCTGGCATTTCTGAGCAAAACCTTCCAGAAGACCGATGCAAACCTTCCGGAAGGTTTTGGCAAAGATAAGGGGAAAAATCCGTCCAGTGGCCTAAAACTTCTGAAAAGTTGATGCAAACCTTCCGAAAGGTTCATTCCAGAACGCAAAACATTTCGGAAGGTTTTGGCAGGGCATAGGCAGACCAAGTGCAAATCTTCCGGAAGGTTTATGGCCAAACTTAACCTTTCAAAAGGTTTTCATTCAATTTTCTTTTTTTTTGATTTCTTCACCTTCCAATCCTTCCTTTAAGCTATCCCTTCATCTCCATTGTCTTTAAGCACTAAGATGGGGGTTCAACTCAAGCCATTTACAAATCTTCACCTACATTCACACAAAACTTCATTAAAAGGTAGGTTAAATGCATTTCTCCCCAAATTCACAACAAAAACAAGTATAAAAGGGTATAAAAAATATACATAATATGCAATATTTTGTGCTAATCACACCCCCCAACTTGAGTTTTGTTAGTACTTAGCAAACTTTATTTCAAACAACAAGATATAAAACTACAACAACCCATTCATACAAATAAATCATCAAACATTCAAAATGTAAAAATCATAATGCAATTAGAGAAATGAACTTGGGCAAACTAAAATGAAACAAATGTGGTACTTTCATTAATCATTTTCAAAGGTTCAGTACAATGAGTTAGAGTTCACAAGCAAAACGACCCAACATCCTAGAGGTACTTCTACTAGGTCGATAAAACTAACCCTAACTATGTACAACCTAAAACCAAAAAGAACAAACAAAAATAATATGACAACACAACTACTCATCGTCCTCATCTCCAACATCATCATCCCCAGCCTCCTCATCATCACTCTCATCACCACTCTCCTCCTCATCATCATCGTCGTCATCATCGGAGCCTCCCATCTCAATAACCATAGAAGGCATAGGAGTAGAGGTAGAAGGTCCGGCCATAGGCGACATAGGTCCATCGGGAATGGGCTCGCCGGGGAAGGTGTGCTGGAAGATCCAAGACACCATCAATGACATTCCATACATCGTAGACTCTAGGGCATTCATACGGTGTGACATGGTACGAGTTGGGGTAGAGGTAGAAGGACCAGAAGAGGATGGCCCAATCCTAGCTACCCTCTTACTGCTGTTTGACTTTCCAATGACACCAGTCTCAGGGGGAAGCAACACATCATGGTCGTAGGACTTTACCTTGCAGTGGGAGCACATTCTAGTGACGAGATTGTCAAAGGAGAGGTTTGGCTTTGGCTTTGCAGCTTGAGTGAACTCCTTCATCTCCTCCAATATCAAAAGGGCTACATCAATCACCTTTCTTGTCATAAAAGCATGGAGTAGGATGAGCTTCTCCACATTCGGGCTCTTTTCGGAACCCCAGGGCATCAAGTAATAGTGTAGTAATTTGTTTACGACCCCGTAGGAGTGCTTGGGGCCTCCCACTAAAGTTGTTCCTTTGAATGTGGTCCGATCCTAATAGCTAAGCCGCACATAATCAGAGAGTGTTCTACCCCCTTCAACATTGTGTGGATAGATTAGGGTGCTAATTGGAGGCCTCTGGTATCTCATTAATGTGGCAATCAAGTACAAGGTCACGTCGAACGTCTTCTCCCGCGCATTCGTCCTAAGCACACTTCCACTCTCACCCAACACCATCAATTTCTTATAAAACTCCCTACACAAAGCCAGGTTATACCCATTAACCGGCTCAAACCATATCCCCAATCCATGCCTCTCGATAATCCTCACCACTTCATTGTTCGGACCAAGAATGATCTTCTCCACAAACCGCTCTCAAGCCACGTTTTTCTCATGGTCAATCCGAACGACATCTCTAGCTCGGCAACTGAAAACCTCATCTCCCTTGTCGAAGGATCAGACAAGGGGAGATGGAGATGATCATTGAGGGAGTAGTAATATCTTTTTCCTCACCTTCTGATGGCAGGTCCTCGGCAGCAGTAAGAGAAGGAGCTATAAGGGTAGCAGAAGGAACAACAGCTGGGATAGTAGCCGGGTTGAGACCAAGCCCACACTAGAAAAGGTTCTGAGTTGTGACCAGTCTAGTGAAAGGAATTGCCTTAGCTCGGTAGAGGTTACAGACCCTTGAGACCTCATCAGGGGTCAACTTGGACCACCTGCATCAATGCAAAGGGAAACAATGTTAAGAAAAAGGGGGGCAACAAGAAGGTGTTCATTCTACATGACAAAAAAAAAGGTCAATCCTTACCTCTACGTGGGAGGCATCCCCAGGAGCGAGGAACGCGGAAATTGTGCATAGTAGCCTCGCTGAACTCCCAAGAATCCTTGGAGACAAAAAAAATATTGCAATCATCCCTCAAGGGAGCCTTGAGTATCAAGGATCAGCATTGGGACTTGAAACCTCCATCAAAATCGATAAAAAGTAGGGAGGAAAGCCATCATCAAAGTGAAAAAAATAAAGAAACTCAGAAACATAGGGAAAATGGTCATGGTCGTGCATGCACTAGAAGATGAAAAACCTCACAAGGATGCCCCACCCTTCTAGTGAAAGTCGTGAGGCGCAGAGCCCAAAAAAGGTCAAAATCTGCCTAATCGACAGATGAAGGGGTAGACAGAGCCCCATCTTAAATGCACCCTCAAAAAAGCAAACCTTCCTTCTTAGAAGAAGGTTACAGGGCTCATAAGAGGTATGGGCATGAACGACCATGCCCGTGGGGAAGTGATACTGCCTACTAATCTCTTCTATTTCAGCTATTGACACTAAGCTGGGAAACAGAAAGATGGCATAGCAAGGGTCATCTATGAGGATAGAAACAAGTTGCTTGAACATAGAAGAAACTGAGAAGCCTTGAGGAAATAGACAAAAACAGCCAAAGGAGACACCAATCGGAAATAAAGAACAACTTGAACAACGAAGTAGCCAATTTATAGAGGCCAAAAGGTGACGGTTAGTCTTCTTCGAACAAACAGTTTTATAACAAGAATGGATGCAAGACATTCATTATAGGGTTAGATGGGCGCATAAGTGGGCACATTTAACCGCCTTTTTGCAAATTCATTCAAACTTGGCGCCCCCTGACATATTTGAAACCATGAAACTTAGATTTACAAGTCTAGCAGGTCAAGAGCATGAAGAGCTCGGACCTCTAGGACAAGAGCACGAGGATTTTTTGGACCTCTAGGTTTAGATCACGAGGAGCTCGAACCTCTAGGTCAAAAGCACAAGGAGCTCGGAACTCCAACCTCGACTATGAGGAAGTTGAACGTCCAACCTTGATAAACTAATGGTCAACTCAAACTATTACCAGCTTTTCAACTTCACCCTTTGAGCTCTTCAACCCATGATAAGTGGAAAGTCAAAGTCTGGGGACTCAACCCAAAAATTTGACATAGCCAGCAAAAATCATACTCCAACCAGGTCAAGACCTTCTTGGAGCAGGGGGCAAGGGAAACACGCAGTATTCAAAAGTGATCATTTCATTCAAAGAAAAAAAAGAGCGTTTACATGCATTTACACAAATAAAACACAATAAACAACGACAAAAAAGAGAGAAAGGAATGAGCTGAAGTAGACAAAAGCCGAGGTCATCAGGGCTTAGGGGTTAAAGGACCAGCATCACCACCTCTAGGGGAACCTCCAAGAGGAGGATCGAATCGAGGCTCAAACTTGTCAAAGCCTAGATCGGTAAACTTCTCCATGGCCTGCTCCTTGAAGTTGAAAAACCCGTCCATAAAGGGTTTGGCAGCTTCTTTTTTCAGTTTCTCAATCTGCAGCCTTTGCCTCTCTACCAGCCGTCTTTATACACCAAGGGAGTCCTCTAGATCGGCAATGCTTTTGTGAGATTGCACCAGTTGGGTCGTCAAGTCCATGTTCTCAACTTGCACATCCACTAGTTCATTCTTCCTTAATCTCAGCTGATCTCGTAAAGAGATCTCCGAAGTAGTGGTGGCTATCAATTGTTGAAAGACCTGAGCTTTTTGCTCAAGGGTTGTCTCTAGCTCCCCTTTAGCCCTACACCCCAACACAACAACTCTACTAACTTTGCTTCTCTCCTCCCCGCTGCTGTGGGTCGTGACCTGTGTGCAAAATGTGGGTCGTGACCTAGAAGAAAGCTAAAGGGATAAATGCTTGTAAGGATGAGAGAAAACCAATCAAGATAACATGGAAAACCTTGAAAAGGGCATGCAAAGAATCTCCAGACCTGTCCCTAAAGGGGAGATCAACGGAGGTTAGCTTGAGATATCAGCTCCATGAAGGCGTGATTGACCTTTGCCACGCTATCCAACAAGCTCACACTGGGATCTCCGACCCTGCCAGGATCGGGGCATTGACTTGATCCAAAATGTGTACAACCAAGTGCAGGCGATCAAGTTATAGTTATAATCCGGTTAAGTCCAAAGTCGAATTTACAATGAACTAATGTTGGTGTTTCAGAGTAAATAATGACAGAGACCAAAGTGATTGAAACCCTTGAGATTTGAAGTTATGATATTTATGAAATTTCCTGGATAGAATATAAGATTCTTTCCAAAGGGTTTTTCTAGACAAAAAATAATACTCTCAAATGTAAAAGTCGCCCTTTAGCTCGAGGATCTGAGCATATAATCAATCATCTAGTTGTTATATTTATGCTTGAGAACTCCATTAACCCTACATCAATAGTAAGTTAACTGGAGGATAAAGATGTAATGTGAGAATTAAGAGTAAGGTTCGAATGTCCTTGTGGAGATTTATCAGAATTGTCTATGTCGGGACTCAACCCGTCTACAAACAAGCAAGTAATTCTACAAGTCATCCGACCACTGTGTTAATATTCCATTCTTAGTTGAAGCACAATTATGATGAAGATTGAAATGTAGTCATTAAGATCTAGCTGGAGTACTTGCAAATGCCCAATGAATTATCTTATGCCAATAGTCATCTTGTCTTAGAAAGGACATATGGTTGTACAAAGTACATTAGCTTTGCTAGATGCATTTAGTCATTCGATAAGTAATTAACAGATAAAGCATTAAGCATAAATGAAATGCACAAAAATAACTTCTGAATGATTTATATATGTCCATCACCTCTTACTAAAGAATGAATGAGAAACTACTCACTCTTCATGGCTTGGAGGAAGCTAGAAAAGTGAGTGATTTTCATTCCTCCAAATAGAGGAGTTACAAGAGAAACTACATTACACAATAAGCCTATTTTTTATGAAGATTGAGTGAATTACTTTCCACTCTTCAAGGCTACAAGAGAGCTAGAAAGGTGGAAGAGTTTCACTCTTCTAAGTGAAGAAAAAAGCTTTTACAATGGAAGCTAATGAAACTAATAATGAAAGTAGAAAGCTAGTTACTTTTGGAGGGTTTCCTCATCAACCAAAAGATGATCTATCTCTATATATCTCCCATGTCTATCTATGCCTCTATATCTCTCCAAAAAGGAGGTATTTATAGGCAAGGGAGAGGGGGTAAGGAAGAGTAAAAGAATAGTTCTAGGTGCTTAAAGTCCAAGTGAATGCCTCAAGATCTGGATGAAAAATCAACCACCCTGCATACTGTCTGGGGAATACGTTCAAACGTGGTATGGCGTTTGAACGTTGAATGAAGTTTGAACGTGGAACTCAAGTGGCTTTTGTCACCCATAGTAGATAGAAGTCAACAAGCCATATCTTATCACCCTGACAGTCTTCTGTAGGTCCTCAAATAATTCAAGATGGCGTTCGAACGTTGTATTCAAGTAGCTCTTGTTCTTCTGTGAGAATAACTGCAACACGCCATATGTCATCACCCTAGCACTCTTCTAGGGGTCCTCAATTATTTCAAGATGAGCATTCAAATGTGAATTGGCGTTCGAACGTTGATGCTTCGCTTACTCTTCCTCCAATTTTCTTCCAGAACACGTGGGTGTTGCATGAAAGTTTGATGTTTATTGACTGTAGGCCTTTGTATAATATTTTTTCCTAAAATGTCATCATTGAAACTATTTCCAAACATAATTAGTCTTATAAAAGCATAGTGAGATGCTAATTTTAACTATTAATTAGGCATCTCGATTTGGACCCCTCCATCCCCCTCGGTTGTGAACCTTGTTGTACAAGGCCCATCTTGGGATTAATGGACACAACCTAGATGGTGGCCACTTTGGCAGACAACAGGTTCAAGGTTTGACCTTGGGAGCTCGGCTCGAAACGATCTTCAGCTACCTTAACCCTCTTAGCCAGAGGTTCGGGATCTCGTGTCGACCTCCGTTAACCCACTTGTTCTACAATAGCACCCTTTCCCTAACTAGGTATGTGGGAGCTGAAAACAGAAACCAAGTGAGTAAGTAGGACAAGAATGTTTCACAAAAAAGACAAGATAGAAAAGTTTACTGAGAAAAATAGGCACCTACTATTTGGGACACTAGTCGTCTTGAGTGCCATCAGCTCGACAAAAAAAAAGGGCCCATAAGCCCGAGCTTGATCAAGCCAGACTCGAATATTTGTCTGACAAAAAAAGGCAATTTTAGAATCAAGAATGCAAACAATAGGCAGCTCAGTTAGAGGAAACTCACCAAGATGGGGGAACTCACCAAGATAAGAACATCGTTCCCAGACCATGGGTACACAAACTTCCGAAGTAACCTAGGAAGCAAACTCCCAACCCATTCCAGATACAAAGAAAAAACCTCCACCTCCAACCCTCAAGTTCAAGGGGGAGGTCAGAGATAAGGGGTTCCTCCCTTCTTTTTCCTATGAAGGAATAGAACCCAGATGACTCCATAGGGTGGAAGAGATAAAGAAACTCCCCCAGTGAGACACATGGCTACCTAAACAGACATCCCCACAAGTTCGAGAACACCAAAAAGACGACCCAACACACCGACAACAACATGGCGAGACAAAAACACTAAAGAAATGGAAAACCTCCCTCACAAAGGGAGAAAGGGAAAACTTAAGGCCCAACGGGAATGAGACCTAAACCTTCTGCACCATGGAAAGATGGTGAGGCACGCAGTATGCAGCGTGAACAAAAACCCCATTGGGGAAGTTGTAATGGTTCGATAAGGCATGGGCCCCCATCACATCTATCTCATTGATCTCGGCATCGGGGAAAGTCTCTTGTATTGTGTAGTACCCAAAAGCTGAAAGGTGAGACATGAAGAGAACTGGAGAGAAAGGATGTTCTAGTAAATGAAGGATTTTCTAGCAAACAAGGTAAACAGTACTCAAGGGAAAGCAATGAAAGTTAATGAAGAAGACATACAACTTTTAAAGGAAATTTTGGCGAGGAAAAATCCCCCCAAAAAAGGTGCAACGAGTACCTGTCTATCGCATTAAATGTGATTGCTACTTTTGAGGGTGCATTTTTGTCATCATGGGCACGCCCCAAACTAAAGAAAACCACCAAACTTGGGGAACATGAAAGGATAGGGTAAAAGGTCTAAAATGACCCTAATAGCCATGGTCAGCTCAACATGAATACCCAACTCGCGCATTCAACAAACAGCTCTCCAAACCCTTCATGAGATAAGCCCATCAGCTTACAGAGTATCTTGGCTCATTAGGATAAGCTCTTTAGCCCATTCTTCCTAGATATGTGCAATTCGACCAAGATAGGTAAGCCCGAGCAGGTCAAGCATGTTGAGCAGCCCAACCATGTGCAAGATTTCTTAAGCAACTCTCTAGCCAAGGAAAACCCCCACCGTTGGATGAGGGCCCTAACACCTGCAAACGAAGGTCAAAGTGACTTAGAGGACCAAAGTTTACTCTTCTCGTGCCTCCAAGCCTTAGAGTCATTGAAGGTGCAACAAAAAGGGGGGAAGAGAGATGACAAGTAGGCAAACACATAGAACCATTCAAAATGAAAAGCAGTGTGAAGAAACATTAGAAGTAGAAAGAAAGGCTGAAATTAAAAGAAACACAAGTTTTGTTACAAATTCAGTCCACAAATGTAAGGGTACAGATCTTAATGAAAACCTAAAGTTCTACAAACAAGAACTATGCAATGAGCTCGGGGTTTTCTGCTTTGTTAGTACGCTCAGCTCCCGACCCCTGCACAGGCTCCTTAGGCTTTAACGCCTCAAAGTATGGCTCAAAGGAGTCTTGATCCAAATCAAGGTACGCCCTCTCGACCTGCACCTGGAAGTTCATGAACCCTACACGAAGATAGAGACGTTCTCATCAAGGAGCTTAGTGATTTTTTCTATCCTTGACTTTCAACTCCTCCTCTTTCACCTTTAGCTCGTCATTCTTCCTCTTGGAAAAATCTCTAGCATCCTGAAGGTTGCTACCCATCTTGGTATTTCCCTCCTCGCCTCCTCCAGCTTAGCGTTAAGGATCACAATTTTCTCCTTGGTCAAGCATTCCTTAGCCTTATTTACATCTGTGGCATCCAATGCTTTGCCTAGCTCGTGCTCTTTAGCCACGAGCTCATTCCTCAACTTTTGTTTAGCAAATTGGGTCTTCTTAAGTTCTAAGCAGAGAGGAGCCTGCTCGAAAGATTGACCAGTCAGCACACTCAAAAAGAGCTTGTGATGGGACTCCTTCCCCTTGATGCAAGCCAAAGCCTAGCAACAACGGTGCATATTATGGGCAACTAAGAACAATAAAGAGTATAGAGCTAGTTCGAGAAAGGAAGGAAAGGACACGATACCTTAGCCAAACTCCAAAGGGCATGTTGAGCCTTTCACTCAGAGCTAGTTTCCATGGCCTCCTTAAGATTCATAGCGGGAACCAAGTCAACAAGAGCAACCACAACCGCCTTGGGATCGTGGAGAAACCCATTATCCCTTGTATCCATTCCGAGAAGCTTCTTCATAGTCTCAAACCCTTTAGAGAGCATCGTTGAAGAAAGAGCCAAAACGGTCTCGCCAGACTTAGCGCCAGCAGTCCCGAGCCCTCCTTTAGGACTCAGCTCGGGTCCCAAAGAAAGGGCCAAACTAGAATTAGGAGAGATCAGACCATCCCCTTTATGCCTCGAGGGGTCAGACACCAACTTTGACCTCTTTGAAGAAGGAAGCTCGGAGGTCTTCACAAACCTCTTCTTCTCCTCAGCAAATCTCTCAATTACAAGCCTCTAATCCATCTGGTCAGTAGTCTAGATAGGAAGCTCGAGTTCTGGAGTGGTGGTCCGAACAGGTAAAGCCTTGACAAGGGGTCCAAACCCGTACTTGATAAGCTTCTCCTTGGTTACTAGGATGAAAAAGGCTTAAGTCCATAGGCTTCAACTAGGGCCACTCTCTAAGCCTTTACAATATCCAGATAAGGGTGAAAACCTGCAAGCAAGTCAAAGAACAAGTCAAAACCATAACGAAAACAATCTTAACAGACACATTTTTAATAAAGATTCTTATGAGTATTCTCAGGTCTTCCCAAGCCCTTGGGACACGGGAAATATGACCAAAAATTCTTGACAATTTCCAAGTGTCACCTCAAACAAAAAAGAAATTTGGTTTCCAACTCTTGTTGGAGGAGTGAGCCCAAAAATTAGACTATTTACCTTAACCTGCGTGGCGGAGTAGAAAAAACCAAGAGCAGGGGAGGATTTCAGCTGGAAAAGATGGGCAAACTCGTAGATAGTGGGAGGAGAAGTGTTCCCACTTTCTCGCTAATGGACAAGAAGACCAACCAATAGACCCCAACCATTAGGGGAAACCCTAGCCGGGTATACGTTATCCAAAGCAAGAACATCATGGATGAAAAGGTGAATAGGGAACCTAAGGCCAGCTTTGAACATTGAGGTGAAAAAATAGGTCATTCTAGGGATAACTAACTTGCACCTCTTATCCTCCTCGAGAGAATGTAGCAAAACAGAGGAAGGAAATGAGTACTCCTCCCTTAGGGCCTCTAGGTTATCCTTGTCAATACGACTCAGGTTCAACTCGGTGTAGTAAGTGAGGTCAGAAGGATCTTGATGGACCTGTTTAGAATCAAAAGAAATTCAAACCCCCTTTTCTTGACACGACTTGGGGTGGCAGGGGGCAAAGCCGGCGGGGGTTCAATAGAACGACCGAAGGTAGAAGCCACAAGAACTGACCCAAGGTACACCAGATCTGACACCTTAAACTGAAACTCTAACCCCTATTTTAAGGCCAGCAAAAATTGGTCGCCCCCAATCAGCAGAGTATCTTCAATAAAAGGCTCCTCACCACTAGGGGGAGATGAAGTATCCTCGACATACTCGCTACTATGAAAGGCTAAAACCTCCTCGACATTCACATTACCTTCCTCCCCTAGCGAAGACTCAAAAGAAGTATCAGACACGACTCTCCCCATTGGGACTTCAAATCGTAATAGAAAGCAAAAAGGGCAGATTCAAAGCATAGTCCATTAAGAAAAATGGAACTAAGCACCAAGATCTAACCAAGGTCAACCTCAGCAGAAAAGGATAGTCAACAAACCATGAAAAAAAGGAAAAACTATCAAAGTGTCGCCTGAAATAAGTAAACCTCTAGATAATGAAACGGAACCCATAGCCCCACCAATTGGAATTAAGGGGATCTAGGGCAAAGAAAAGGGAACAAAGACATACCTAATGGACGGCTAGAACCAACTTGTAGGAGACGAAAACACAAAATCCTCAAAAACATCAGAGGAGCAAGGAAACCGCCTTTGGGCCTAGAGAGGGAGAAAGAAATGCGAAGAGTCAAAAATTCAAAATATCAATGAAAAATTGAGATACATTCCCCCTTTTTTACTATCGAGATTAGGCGTAGGTAAGAGTCGTACCAGGGAAGCCTCCATCGCGCGATGCGTGTATTCCCCTGACACGTCTATCAAACTAAAGCAAATATGGGGGGTAAATTTACTGTTGAAACAGCGTCAACAATCATGAAAAATTGTCATCCCTAGGGTAATCATTGCATCAAGCAACTCGGGATTAACCCCAGGTAGGAGCTAGAAGGCTATCCTCCTAACCCGGGGCTGGGGGGCAACTAATAATGATCGTTTTAAAGCCTAGACCCTCTTTAGAGCCTAGGACCCTCTGAGTTGATAGGAAGCGGCTCAAGAAGCCCTTTTAGACAATATTCTATAGGCTTGAAATGGGCTACTACCCAGTTCCAAGAAAGTACAGGTACCAGCTCAGGAGATGGGAGCCCAGCGCAAGGTCAACCTAAAAAGTTGCAACACGACACGTGGACAAGGGACAAGGAAATACTACCTGATGGCTCTGATGAACCAAAAGGTAGTGGAGATGGATCAAATACAACATATTGCGAGTAGAGGACGCAAAAATGTTCTAGGGACCACAGTGCCAAGATGAAGACAGAGATAGAGAGGACCACAAGATCAGCCAAGAAGGACAAACATGAAACCCTAGCCATCAGTAGTATAAATAACTAATAGTGCTACAGGGCAAGGGAGAAGCACCAAGTAAGCTAATGAGAAAGAGAATCAAGCAATACCTTGTAACGGTTTCAAGCTAAACTCTCTGTAACAATCACCATCTTCTCTAAGTAATACAATCCTCAAGGAACAAGAGTCTCTCTTACAGTGGATGTAACCTTAATTTTTGGGCTATAGCGAATCACTTATACTTTGTCTTTACTTCGTTGATCACCCATAGCATACACTTCACACACGCACACCCATTGATACATCCATATGCTTATCGAACTTTGCCCGAACTTATTCTACAACCTGGGCCAATTAATTTCTAGCACCATCACAAATAAATTTAGATTGTTGAAATTAGTAAGTTCTATTAAGGTTTAGTAGTAGGACCTACTGATCACATTCATTTGTGAAGAAAAAATTGGAAATAGTTTTGAAAAATGTAATATTTTGAATCATTTTGTTGGGAAAATGGGCGTAGAGCATGATAGGTCTTCCATGGAGCATAAGTACCGCTGCCTAAATTTTAACAAAGGGCAAGGTCCGGTCCAATATAGGACTGGTGAAACTATCTTTCCACCTATCGCAATAAAAAAGTGAGAAATATGAAGTTTTTTTTATTTTTTATTAATTTATTATTTTTACAATTAATAATAACAAATCGATCAAACTAAAATCTACAATTATAAATCGATTTTTAAATGCAACCAAAATTATTTTCAATAGTACTGTAGTCATATGTTTCATATATGTGTAATTTAATATGTTATTTTGAAAAGAACGCCCAACTAAAAGACAAGGCAAGACGCTCCTAATCACCTTTA